ATTTTTATTTTATTTTTTCTTCCTGAGAATTTTCTACCCCATACATCAACTCATATATATTTAGGTACAGACATAATCATGTCACCTGTGTGGTCCCAAATATTACAAGATGAACAATTAAAATATTCCTGGATTGCCAGTGCAGAAAAATGCCACTAAATAGAGGTCTTAAAGATTTCCCATAAAGTTTCAAGTAACATAGCTCAATAAGAAAAATGTATATCTCATATGTACAACTATGATATATCAAAAAATACTAAAAAAAAGTCTCACTATACCAGGAAACAAACTCCTACAAACAGAAACAACCAACTATAGAACCATACCCATAAAGATCAGACATGGTTATTATATATAGGATATATGATGTCTGTTTAATATCTTGAAATAAATCAGAGGGAATTAGAAGGTAAAAATACAACCAAGAAAAAAGTCATCAAAGTTAATCAAAAAGATTTAACAAAGAATCAAATGTAACTTCTAGAAAGAAAAAAATGTAATAATTAATATAAAAAACCCATTGCATGGGTTAAATCCCAGATTAAAAGGAAGAGTTAGAGTCCATTGTGAAGATATTACATGCAGTGCAACACAGAAATAAAAACATAGAAAATATGAAGCATAGGTTTAAAAGATACAGAAGCCAGATTCAGGCTGAGATGGAAGGATTGCTTCAGACCAGGAGTTCCAGGCTGTAGTGTGTCATGATTATATCTATGAGTGGCCACTGCACTCCAGCCTGGGCAGCATAGCAAGATCCCACCTAAAAGAAAAAAAAAACACAGAAGAGATAGTTAAGGAGGTGCAATGTACATCTAATTAGAATTCCAGAGGGAATAATAAAGACAGTGATCTCGGCCCACTGCAACCTTTGCCTCCTGGGTTCTCTTGCCTCAGTCTCCCATGTAGTCTTGGGAAGAAGAGGGAAGCAACTAGAGGGAAAAGGCAGATTACCTACAAAAGAATGACAAATAGACACATAGCTGACTTCTCCATGCAACACTGGAATTCAGAAGTCAGTGGAATGACTTCCAAGTGCTGAGAGGAAATAATTGTAAATTTTATTTTATTTTAAAATTTTATTTATTTATTTATTTGAGATAGGGTCTCACTCTGACACCCAGGCTGGAGTGCAGTGGCACAAACATAGTTGACTACATCCCTGAACTCTTAGGCTCAAGTGATCCTCCTACCTTGGCACCCAAAACCACTGGAATTAGATTACAGTCTTGAGCCACCAAACAAGGCTGCAAAAGACATTTTATAACAAAGAGAATACCAACAGCCGACTGGGAGCGGTGGCCGATGCCTGTAACCCCAGCACTTTGGGAGGCTGAGGCAGACGGATCACCTGAGGTCAGGAGTTCAAGACCAGTGTGACCAACATAGAGAAAGTCATTTCTACTAATACTATAAAAATTAGCCAGGTCTGGTGGCACATGCCTGTAATCCCAGCTACTCAGGAGGCTGAGGCATGAGAATTGCTTAAACCCAGGAGGCGGAGGTTGCGGTGAGCTGAGATCACACTATTGTACTCCAGTCTGGGCAACAAGAGTGAAATTCTGCCTTAAAAAAAAAAAAAAAATCTCCAATAAACATATAGACTAGGTGTAGTGAGTCATGCCTGTAATGCCAGTGTTTTGGGAGGCAGAGGTAAGCAGATTGCTTGAGCCCAGGAGTTCAAAACCAGCTTAGGGCAACAGAGTAAGACCCCTATCTCTACAAAAAAATCAAAAATTGGCTGGGCTCAGTGGCTCATGCCTGTAGTCCCAGCATTTTGGGAGGCCGAGGCGGGAGGATCACGAGATCAGGAGATCAAGATCATCTTGGCCAACATGGTGAAACCCCATCTCTACTAAAAATACAAAAAAAAAAAATTGCTGGGCATGGTGGCGCACACAGCTGCAGTCCCAGCTACTCGGGAGGCTGAGGCAAGAGAATTGCTTGAACCCAGGAGGTGGAGATTGCAGTGAGCTGAGGTCACTCTACTGTACCCCAGCCTGGGGGACAGTGCAAGACTCTGTGTCAAACTTAAAAAAAAAAATCAAAAATTACCCAGTTATGTGCCACAAGCATGAGCCAGGGAGGTCAAAGCTACAAGTGAACAATGATCATGCCACTGCACTCCAGCCTGAGTGACAGAGCAAGACCCTGTCTCAAAAATGAAAAAATAAAAAGAAGCCAGGCACAGTGGCTCACGCCTGTAATCCCAGCACTTTGGGAGGCCAAGGTGGGCAGATCATTTGAGGTCAGGAGTTTGAGACCAGCCTGACCAACATGGTGAAACCCAGTCTCTGCAAAAAATACAAAAAATTTGCCAGGCATGGTGGCGGACACCTGTAGTTCCAGCTACCTTGGAGGCTGAGACAGAAGAATCGTTTGAACCCAGGAGGTGGAGGTTGCAGTGAGCCAAGATTGTGCCACTGCACTCAAGCCTGGGCAAGAGTCTTACTTTGTCTCAAAAAATAAAAATTAAAAGTTAAAAATAAATAAACATACAGAAAGGTGCTCAACCTCATCATTTCTAAGGAAGAAGTAAACTAAAGCTATAATGAGATACTATTCATTTTATATCTACTATATTGAAAACAATTTAAAGCTCTGACTACATTAAGTACTAGGGAACATGCAGAGCAATTGGAACTTTCATCTACTATGGTGAGAGTGTAAATTGGCTCAATCAGTTTGTAAAACAGTGTGATATTACTTAATAAAGTTGGGCATGTGCATACCCTAGATCCCAGCAATTTAACTCTAAGTCTACATCCTAGAGAAACCCATGTACTGTACATGAAGAGACATGTTCAAGGATTTATATTGCAGCAGACAAATGGATACAGAAAATGTGGTAGGCCAGGCTTGGTGGCTCACGCCTGTAATCCAAGCACTTTGGAGGTTAAGGCAGGTGGATCACCTGAGGTTGGGAGTTCAAGATCAGCCTGATCAATATGGTGAAACCTCGTCTTTATTTAAAAAAAAAAAAAGAAAGAAAGAAAATGTGGTACATATTCCCAACAGAATATATTCTATTCATCCATAAATAAAATGAGAGCCTGTCATTTGCATGGTAGAACTGAAGGACATCATGTTAAGTGAAATAAGCCAGGCACAGAAAGACAAACTTCACATGTTCTTATTCATTTACAGGAGCTAAAAATTAAAACAATTGAACTCATGAAGATAGTACGTAGAATGATGATTACAAGAAGCTAGGATGGGTAGTGGGGCTGTGAGGAATAGTTAGTGGGTACAAAAATGTACTTAGGTAGAATGAATAAGATCTAGGTTTTTTTGTTGTTGTTTCTGTGTTTTTGTTTTGGTTTTAGACAGAGTCTCATCCTATTGCCCAGGCTGAAGTGTAATGGCGCAATCTCGGCTCACTGAACCCTCCGCCTCCCAGGTTCAAATGATTCTCCTGCCTCAGCCTCCTGAGTAGCTGGGATTACAGGTGTGCACCACCATGCCCAGCTAATTTTTTTGTATCTTTAGTAGAGACAGGGTTTCACCATGTTGGCCAGGCTGGTCTTGAACTCCTGACCTCATGAAGATCTAGTATTTGATAGCACAACAGGATGACTACAGTCAACTCTAATTTATAGTACACTTTAAAATAGCTAATAGAGGCTGGGTGCAGTGGCTCACGCCTGTAATCCTAGCACTTTGGGAGGCCAAGGTGGGTGGATTACCTGAGGTCAGGAGTTCAAGACCAGCCTGGCCATCATGGTGAAACCTCATCTTTATAAAAATAAATAAATAAATAAAAATAGCTAAAAGAGTAAATTGGAACGTTTGCAACACAGAGAAATGATACATGCTGGAGGCAATGGATACCCCACTTACTCTAATTATTTCACACTGTATGTCTGTATCAAGATGTGTCATTTATTCCATGAATATATACACTTATGATATACCCATAACAATTAAAAATCAATTTTTTTAAAAAAATAGAATTTTTCTTGCAACACTACTACCATTTTTCATAATAGTAAAAAATCAGCTTGGTACAATGGCTTGCACCTGTAATCTCAGCACTTTGGGAGACTGAGGCAGGCGGACCACTTGAGCCCAGGCGTTTGAGACCAGCCTGGGCAACATGGCAAAACTGTATTTCTACAAAAAATACAAAAATTAGCCAGGTGTGGTGGTGCATGCCTGTAGTCTCAGCTACTCAAGAGGCTGAGGCGGGAGAATGGCTTCAGCCTGGAGGGTCAAGGCTGCAATGAGCCATGATCAGGCCACTGGACTCTAGCCTTGACAACAGAGTAAGACCCTGTCTCCAAAAAGAAAAAAACTAAAAGAACTGGAAACAACCTGAAAATGAATAAATTGTTGGGTATCTATACAATCAGATGCCAAACAGGAGAAAGTGACTGAACTTCAGATATGCCATGTGAAATATCTAAACAAGATACTTGAGCAGAAGCAAGCTGCAAAAGAACACATAGGGTATGATTCCATTATGTAACATTCAAGAAAAACTACACACTATGCTATATATACATTCCAGATTTTCATCCACAGCTCCTGGCTCAGAACTCCCATAGCTCTTGTTACCTTGTTACAGTCTTTTAAGTTATAATGTTGGAGGTGCTTTAGGCCTTAGGAAACAGAATCCCTCTCTGCCCTCCTGTCCTCCTTTTTCTTGCATGAAGGCAGGACTCTCATCTGACTGCGGGTCAAAGAGCCTCATTCCAGAAAGAGTCCTCCTGTCCCATACTCTGGAGGAAGGAAAGCTGCGGCACAGAGAGGCCAGGAAGAATCTGGGCAGGCCTTGTGTGAGATCATACTCTTTATCCAATCTTTTTTATTTTGTATGTGTGACAGAGTCTCGCTTTGTTGCCTGGAGTGCAGTGATGTGATCTCAGCTCACTGCAACCTCTGCCTCCCGGGTTCCAGCAATCCTCCTGCCGCAGCCTCCCAAGTAGCCAGGATTACAGGCATGTGCCACCACGCTTGACTAATTTTTTTTGTTTGTTTGTTTGTTTTGTTTTGTTTTGTTTTTGAGACGGAGTTTCACTCTTGTTACCCAGGCTGGAGTGCAATGGCGCGATCTCGGCTCACCGCAACCTCTGCCGCCTGGGTTCGGGCAATTATCCTGCCTCAACCTCCTGAGTAGCTGGGATTACAGGCATGCACCACCATGCCCAGCTAATGTTTTGTATTTTTAGCAGAGATGGGGTTTCACCATGTTGACCAGGGTGGTCTCGATCTCTTGACCTTGTGATCCACCCGCCTCGGCCTCCCAAAGTGCTGGGATTACAGGCTTGAACCACCGCACCCGGCTTAATTTTTTTGTATTTTTAGTAGAGTCAGGATTTCACCCTGTCAGTCAGGCTGGTCTTGAACTCCTGACCTCAGGTGATCCACTTGCCTCAGCCTCCCAAAGTGCTGGGATTACAGGCATGAGCCACCGCACCTGGACCTCTTTGTCCAATCATTTATACATAGTTATCAGTCATGCCTATGTAATGAACTCATTTTAAAAACCTGAAAGGACGAGATTCACAGAGCTTCCAGATAGCTGAACATGTGGAAGCCCCTGGAGGGTGGTGCAGCAAAGGAGCCCATGGAAGTTCTGCACCCCTTCCCCAATACCTTGCCTTACACATCTCTCCATCTTTATTGTTTATAACATCCTTCATAATAAACTGGCAAACTGTTTCCTTGAGTTCTGTGAATTGCTCCAGCAAATTAATTGAACCCAAAGTGGGAGTCTTGGGAACCAGAACTTGAAGCCAGTCTGTCAGAAGTTCCGGAGGCCCGGATTTGCAACTGGTGTCAGGGCCGTGTGGGGGCAGTCTTGCGGACTGAGCCCTCAACTCGTGGAATCTGACGCTGTCTCCAGGTAGACCGTGTTGGGACTGAATTGGAGGATGCCCAGCTGGTGTCTGTTGCAACTTTCTTGCTGGTGGGAAGATATCTCCACATATTTCAGGATCATAGAAGTCTTATTTATTGATTACTATTGTGTTGGTGTGAGAGCAGAGGAGAAACACTGTTTGAGAGAGTTTTTCCCTAATATATATATTTATATACATATAAAGTTGAAGATGTGCATACCTTAGATCCCAGCAATTTAACTGTAGGTATACACCCTAGAGAAACCATGTACCTGTATATCAAGAGACATATATAGGCTGGGCGTGGTGGCTCACGCCTGTAATCCCAGCACTTTGGGAGGCCGAGGCAAGCAGATCAAGACCTCAGGAGTTCGAGACCAGCCTGGCCAACATGGTGAAATCTCATCTGTCCTAAAAATACAAAAATTAGCCGGGCATAGTGACATGCGTCTGTAATCTCAGCTACTTAGAAAGCTGAGGCAGGAGAATTGCTTGAATATAGGAGGCAGAAGTTGCAGTGAGCCAAAATCATGCCATTGCACTCCAGCCTGGGCCACAGATCGAGACTCCATATCAAAAAAAAAAAAAAAAAAATTAGCCAGGCATGGTGGCACATGCCTGTAATCCCAGCTACCTGGGACGCTGAGGCAGGAGAATCACTGGAACCTGGGAGGTAGAGTTTGCAGTGAGCCGAGATAGCACCACTGCACTCCAGGCTGGGCAACAGAGTGAGATTCTAGCTCAAATAAATAAATAAAGTTTTTTCTTTTCTTCTCTTTTTCTTTTTTTTTTTTTAAGAGATGGGATCTCCCTTTGCTGCCCAGGCTGGTCTCAAACTCCTGACTTCAAGGAGTCCTCCCCGTTTGGCCTCTCAAAGTGCTGGGATTACAGGCGTGAGCCACTTCGCCTTGCCTCATCGAATTTTAACTTACGTTTCTCTGACTAATGTGAGAATTTGAACACTTCCTTAAATGGTTGCAAGCCATTACAAGTTTTTTACGATTTTATGTTTATACCTGCCTTTAATTTACAATTTGATTTTTAAAATCTATGTAAGGCTAGTCAAGGGAAACAGAGGGAGCAGAGAAGGAACAAAGAAATCTATAACTGGCTGTGATCAATTTGTTGTAAACACCATTGCACTCAGACCAGCCTCAATTTGATCAAATTTTTTATTCTGTTTGCTCTAAGTGGGGAGCATTGATTATTATCACTCAGTGATAAGACTGATGGGTTACTAGGGAATTAATCTGCACTGGGAAAATTTTACTCCATGGGTCATTTCTCTTAGTTCGAGTAGTCCAAGTATATTTCAGAAGTTCTAGTCTCATTAGCTAATCTTTGAAAACAAGGTTCTTGTTTGAGTAAGTATAGAAAATGCTGTATATCATAAACCTGCCTTATAAAATCCCAGCACGTGTCAGCATCATGAGGCCTCTAAGCTTCTAAGAAGTCCTTCAACAAACAAGTCTGTTCAACTTTGCTTCACCTGGCACTTCCCAAACTTGTCTGACTTCTTTCATGTACACTTGCTGTAATGCCTGTTGACTGGTTCATCCTACAAAATTAGGAGTGCCTTCTCACAATAGCTTTGTAAACTAAATAGGATATTTCTTGCCAAATTTACTTTAAACATAAATGTACTGTTGTTTAAGAAAATCATACTAGACAGGCTAGCCATGGTAGCGTACATACGTAATAACAGCACTTTGGGAGGACAAGGCAGGAGAACAACCTGAAGCCAGGAGTTTGAGACCACCCTGGGCAACACAGTGAGACCCCATCTCTATTAAAAAAACAAAAATTAGCTGGGCATGGTGGCACATGCCTGTAGTCTTAGCTAATCAAGAGGCTAAGGTGGGAGAATTGCTTGAGCCCAGGAGTTTGAGGCTGCAGCAAGCTATGATCACACCACTTCACTCCAGCCTGGGCAACAGAAGGAGACCCTGTATATAAAAAATTTTTTTTTAAATAGGCCGGGTGCAGTGGCTCACGCCTGTAATTCCAGCACTTTGGGAGGCTGAGGCAGACGGATCAGCTGAGGTCAGGAGTTCGAGATCAGCCTGGCCAACTTGGCAAAACCCCATCTCTGCTAAAAATACAAAAAATTAGCTAGCATGGTGGCAGGCGCCTGTAATTCCAACTACTCAGGAGGCTGAGGCAGGAAAATCACTTGAACCTGGGAGGCAGAGGTTGCAGTGAGCTGAGATGGCACCACTGCACACTCTCCAGTCTGGGTGACAGAGCAAGACTCTTGTCTCAATAAATAAATAAATAAATATTTAAAAAAAAAATCTTACCGGCTAAATTTGGAAAAGGCCATTTTGTTACAATAATATAGGCCATATTACAGCTAGCCTTTCCTGTTACCATTTTTTTTTTTTTTTTTTTGAGACGGAGTCTCGCTGTGTCACCCAGGCTGTAGTGTAGTGGTGCAATCTCAACTCACTGCAGCCTCCGCCTCCTGGGTTCAAGCAATTCTCCCTGCCTCAGCCTCCCAAGTAGCTGGGATTACAGGCACCCACCAACACGCCCAGCTAATTTTTGTATTTTTAGTAGAGACAGAGTTTCACCATGTTGGCCAGGCTGGTCTTGAACTCCTTACCTCAGGTGATCTGCCAGCCTCAGCCTTTCAAAGTGCTGGGATTACAGGCGTGAGCCACTGCACCCATCCACCATTATTCTTAAAAATAGAGATTATATTATTAATAATAACATATGTCCTATATAACAAATTACCCCAAAGTTTAGTGATTTAAAAAACAATAAACTCATCTCACAGTTTTTTGTGGGTCAGGAATTCAAGAGTGACTTGCCTGGGCAGTTCTGACTTGAGTTTTTCAGGAAGTTGCAGTCAATATATCAGCTAGGGCTGTGATCATCTGAAGGGGCTGTAGGGTAGGTTTCCTGCCCTCTTACAGTGGCAAGCTGGTATTGGCTGTGGTCAGTAGGCCTCAGTTCCTTTGCATGTGGATCTCTCCCAGGGCTACTTATTATCCTTAAAAGTGAGTAACTCAAGAGAGCAAGGCAAAGGAGGCCGTGTCTTTGATGACTTAGTCTTAGTAGTCACATACTGTCACTTCTGGATTATTCTATTGATCCCTCAGTCAGCCTTTATTTAACATGGGACAGGACGACACAAAGGCATGATTATCACCAAGTGAGGACCATTGGGGGCCACCTTGGAAACGGGCTGTCATAGAGATCTTGAACTACTTTGAAAACACTTATTTCCTTTTCACTTCAGTCTCTGACACAGTAACCTGGAAATTAACATTTATGTACAACTGAAAAGAGCCTGGTGTGGTGGCTCACACCTGTAATCCCAATTCTTTGGGAGGCCAAGGTGGGTGGATCACTTGAGTTAGGTGGATCACTTGAGGTTGGGAGTTTGAGACCAGCCTGGCCAACATAGCAAAACCCCATCTCTACTAAAAATACAAAAATTAGCCAGGTGTGGTGGCATGTGCCTGTAATCCCAGCTATTCAGGAGGCTGAAGCAGGAGAATCGCTTGAAGCTGGGAGACAGGGGTTGTAATGGCCAAGATCGCACCACTGCACTCTGGTCCGGGAGACCAAGCAAGATTCCATTTCAAAAAAATAAAAGACAGATATTACAAGGTCTCTTAAATATTCTTGGTGATCTACTTTTGTCTAAGAATTTTTATTGTTTTGTACAGATGGGGTCTTGCTTAGTTACCCAGCCTGGTCTCGAACTTCTGGCCTCAAGAGATCCTTCTGCCTCAGCCTCTGAAACCACCTTTGCAAAATCATGACTGAGACAGTGAAAGAGATCTAATTTAACCAACTCCATCTTGCTTCTAACCTTCAAGCTGTCCTTGTTCATTCCTGGGTGTAGGCTGAACTAACTTTGAGAGAAACTTAGTTTAGTTTAAACAAAGATGGTAACAGCCCTTTCCCAAAGCAGACCTCCTTGCCTGGGCACTACATTGCCTTTGTAGAACTAATATTAGCCACAACATTAGAAATACGGTTTAGGGGTCATGCAGCTGGAGGCTACAAGATTCTGACCCTCCCTAAACTGCTCCTAAGATCAATGCTTGAGATATTTTGCAGACCCTGCAAATGGTGGATCGGCTGGCACCACCCAGATCAATAAACTGGCTCATCTGATCTTGTGCCCACCCCCCCTCACCCAGGAACTGACTCAACACAAGAAGAGAGCTTCCACTCTCTACAAATTCATCCCTGACCAATTAGCACCCC